CCTCCCACCCCCCGCCCCTTCAAAACCCTCAGATTGTTTTTCAGAGTGCATAGTCTCTCATGGTTCACCTCCCCTTCCAATTTCCCTCAACTCCTTTCTCCTCTCTAACTCCCCTTGTCCTCCATGCTATTTGTTATGCTCCACAAATAAGTGAAACCATATGATAATTGGCTCTCTCTGCTTGACTTATTTCACTCAGCATAATCTCTTCCAGTCCAGTCCATGTTGCTACAAAGGTTGGGTATTCATCCTTTCTGATGGAGGCATAATAGTCCATAGTGTATATGGACCACATCTTCCTTATCCATTTGTCCGTTGAAGGGCATCTTGGTTCTTTCCACGTACAAATGGCTATCAGACACATGAAAAAATGTTCATCATCACTAGCCATCAGGGAGATTCAAATTAAAACCACATTGAGATACCACCTTACACCAGTTAGAATGGCCAAAATTAGCAAGACAGGAAACAACATGTGTTGGAGAGGATGTGAAGAAAGGGGAACCGTCTTACACTGTTGGTGGGAATGCAAGTTGGTGCAGCCACTTTGGAGAACAGTGTGGAGATTCCTCAAGAAATTAAAAATAGAGCTTCCCTATGACCCTGCAATTGCACTACTGGATATTTACCCCAAAGATACAGATGTAGTGAAAAGAAGGGCCATCTGTATCCCATAGTTGGTTTTAAGGATTAAATGAGTTGATGTGTGTTAAGCACTTAGTGTATATTAGTCAGTGTCTGTTACCTGTTGTTTCTTTTGATGAGAAAAGTGAGGTTGGAGAAGAAAAGTAACTTGAGTTTTAATATTCCGTTAATTATAGACTTGGATCTAGAGATCAGATCTTCTGATTCTGATGACAGTATCTGCTTGATTCTTTGGCTGTATTTGCCGAAATGCTCACCTTTAAACTTAAAAGTTTTTTAAAACAAATTCTTTAAAATTTTTTCTGATCAAATAACTTCTCCCTGGCCATATTGCTTTATGTTTCTGTTTATTTTTCGTTAGAATGATTTATGATTATCTGAAAAGAGTTTTACCATTCTAGTTTATTGTATTCTATATACTGGGGATCATTTTTTGTTTTTTGTGTTTTTAACATTTGCTTGCTTTCTTTCTTTTCCTTTCCTTTCCTCTCCTTCTTTTTCTTTTCCTTCCCCCACGCCCTTGGAGCCCAGCATGGGGCTTGAACTCATGACCCTTTGAATAAGACCCAAGTTGAGATCAAGAGTCAAATGCTTAGTGACTGAGCCACCCAGAGGTCCCTAACATTTGCATTTCTAAAGAGAAAAATGTATATGTGTATAAATTGACTATATATCAAATATTATTTTGAATTCTGAGATGAATTGGCTACTTTCTCATACTGTGTCTGTCATTTTCAGTTTACAGATCATTTTTGGTTCAGAATTAAGACCAAGCAGCAATTTCTCTCATTGTTTATCTTTCCTAATTAGATTGAAAGTACAGTAAGGTTTGTCTGTGGAGCAACTTCAGTTTGACAACTTGGTTTTATAAATGCTGTAATATGTTCACTTTGATTTCAGTTAATTTTAACTTTCTAAAAACCTTATCTTCTCTTGCAGTTGTAAACAACCCTCGAACAGGAAACCTTGGTGCGCTAATTAAGGTCTTCCTTTCTAGAACCAAAGAACTAAAACTTTCAGCAGAATGTCAGAAGTAAGCTGACTGATTAAATCATGTTCTCTTTATATTTAGAAATATGAGGTGTTTTTTTTTTTTTTTTTGGTAGAAATAGATTATAGTCTTTTGAAAGCTGTAAAGGAATTCTCATTATTAAAAAGTAAAAGAGAGGTTATAATTTACTGTCCAAATCATTGTGGTGGGATTATGAATTCTGGAATCTGTTTGATTTCAGTATTTTAGACAGTCTTCAGAAATACATTGCTTAAGGTTAATAGTGATGTAATTATTATTTAAAAAGGTAGTTCCTCTCCATTATCGCCACTGCTCATATTTAGTTTAAATAATGACTAAGTTTGAAGATTATTTCATTCCACATTATTTCCTTTCTATCTTTCCTCGTAGATGAAAAAAGGCTCAGATTAGACATTATATTATTATTTTAATTCCACTATAGGTAACATAGGTATTATAATTTTATATTTGATACCTTGGAAGGTTAATCTATGCACTCAACCATTTTTTAAAACCATTTTGGATGGCAGACTCTTAAGAAATGGTTCATTGCCTTGCTTCCAAACAAATTAAATTTAAAAAATTAAAAAATTAAAAATTAAAATTTCTCTCGAGTTCATGGTTACTAATACAAGTAGCAAGTATTGTACGGGCTGCTAACAGTGCCCTACTTAAAATTTTGGTTGGGTGCTTGCATATATTCTCTTTCTGTTATTATACTTAAAATTTTTTTTTCACTTTTCCTTGAACTGCCTGTGTGTGGGACAAGTATGAAGTTCAGAACAATGGGCAGTCATGCCTAAGGAAAATATTTTTATTAGGTTGACTCACTAAAATACAGAGAATGAAACATGAAGGAAACTGGAACAGTGTAATAAATCACGAACCATGAAGAGATAGAGTTTTTGTCTTTATATTACAAGCAGAAGGGGCAAAATGCGTGAGAAATGAACTAGGTAGCGCTCATGCTCTTGATTCAGTATGGATTCCCGTGTGATTTTGGTTTTTCCTTTGCAGCCACCTCTTCATTTGGCAGACACACAATGCTTTGTTTATTATTTGCTGTTTGCTGAAAGTGTTCATCTGTGAGATGTCAGAGGAGGAACTGCAACTTCATTTTACTTACGAAGAAAAATCTCCCGGCAGTTACAGTAAGTATTGCCTTTGAAGATGTTCTAGGGATAGCGTGTGTGACAGGGAAGGATAGAATTTGAGGAATAAAAGTAGAATTTTGAAAATTCTATTTTTCTTTTTATAATTTTCACTTCTAAATGACTTGGCCCTCTCACTCTTTTTTCCTCCTATATTTATTACAGTAAGCCAAGACTCAGAAATTCTTTCTTTCTTTTTTTTCCTTTTTCTTTTTATATAAGAAAGCAAGTAGGATTGAAACTTTTATTTGCTTTGGACTTCCATGAATATGGAAAATAAAGTTAGAAACCACAAGTATACCTTTCAGAAAACAAAGATGTCAACTTTGGTTTTATTACCAGGGTGATGCATTAAGGAAGACAGCCAATCAGAATCGCAGATTTTGTAAATGTTAAAGATGACTTTCATAGGACAGAACAGTCTCTGGGTCTTTGGGACTACTTGATCAGATACAACGTTTAAGGACAATTTTACGATGCTGAAATGTGTGGTCTTTTTCTGAAGACACGGGGAGAGGTTACCATTCTCTCATGATATTGCTGGGATTGTGTTACGGGGTTTTTTGCCAGTAGTTAGGAAGGTCTGTAGTTGTCCAGATGGTGTTTCATTTCTTAGCATTAAAACTTATAACCAAGGAGTAGAAGGGCAGAATGGGATTCTTACATGAAATATGGGGAATATAGTATTTTGCATCCCACCTTCATGCTAACTTGTCTCTGAGGGTAAAGGCAGTGTTGCTCCTGAGATCCCTGGGTTCATTTTTCAAAACACAACTCTGCCCTCTTTAGGCTTTTTGCCTACCTACAGCTTTATATGTTGATTTTTGAGTTTTAAGAAATAAATGTGTTCCATTTACTATTGTGAGAATCTGTATTTGTTAAGCATATACTGATGTTTAAACAGAGCTTTTAATCAGAATTGTGTCTTGCATGTGTTAATTTTGTAAGGCTAGGCTTTGTTTTTGTGGTGCTGGAAGTGCCAAGAGCGGCCCGGCTTGGGGAGTTGCAGACCTTTCCACAGAAGGTCTAACTGCAAGAACGGAGTCCATGTTTACCCCATGGCGCCTGAGAGCTGAGCCAACCAGGAATCTGCAAACCCAGCACTTTGTTCGGCTTTATGTCAAAACAGTTATGCTTCCATTGTACTTTAAAATAAATACAATAACATTGTGTTAATATAAAATTATTTGTCATACGTACTATTGAGTAAGTTGAAGCACTTCAGAGATATACTGTATTTATTTTGAGGCCCAGAAGGACCCTCTTTGAACCCATGCTCTCCACTCATATCCCAGTTTGAGAAGCATGGTGTGTGTTTGTTTTTTACGATTTTATTTATTAGAGAGCACACACACATGCGCACGCGCGCACACACACACACACACACACACACACATACACACGCACACACGAATGGGGGTGTGGCAGAGGGAGAAGCAGACTCCCCGCTAAGCAGGGAGCTGGATGTAGGGCTTGATCCTCAGACTCTAGGATCATGATCTGAACTGAGGGCAGATGCTTGAGCCACCCAGGCATCCCGGGAAACATGGTTTTGTTGTACATCCTACATAACCTCAAGTGAGGGCAGTGTAAAAATGACACTTTTCAGCCATGGGGCACATTATCAACATGTTTATCTCACCAAAAGAGCCATCTGTGAGGTCTGATACTGGTAATTTTGTCTGTGCACTGACAGATTGTCCTCTTTTTTTATATGGAGTTAGCACTTCAGGATTTTATACACATTGTTTTGCTTTATTCTTTTCCTTTACAGTTGAGACTGCTGTTGATCCACCAGTTTTAAGTCCAGTAAATATCTTTTTGAGGTTAAAGACTTCCCATTTTGGCATGTGTAATTATTTTCATTTTAGTCATACATGTTGTTAGTTTGAGATACCTACTTATCACTGGTGTTAAGTCCTTTTTACATTTTCTTTTAATGTCTTTTTATAATTTATAGAAGTAATAAAATTAAATGATTACATAGATACTGTTAAATGGTTAAAAAAAAAAAAGCTCACTGTACAGTACCTAAAAACATCTGTTTATCATTTAGAATGTGAATCTTGAAATCAGATGTGTGGGAGACCACGTGGGATACTGCGCAAGGGTTGAGAGACTAGACAGTAGTACAGGTTGCTCAGAGGTTGAATTGACAGAAGCAGAGGACCACCTACAAACAGCTGAGCAAAGTCAGCTGAGGAATTTGAGGCCTTTTTTTGGTTCCATTCACTGTAATTCTGCTGTGATGAAGTGGATGTTGCCGGCACATGAGGGTCATGTGACTCTTCGTAAGCTCCCCATTTGTAATAGAAATTCGTGAGACTGTCCTGCGTGAACATTTCCCCACAGGCTCTGTATGCGTGGTGGCAGATTGTTTGCTAGAGGGAATTTGTATCATTTTGTAAATATAACTCTTTCCACTAGTGCATGCCTTTGAGCATAGTCAAAGAGGACAAAACTAGCTCTGGGCAAAACTATAAAGTACTATAAAATTTTGTCTGTTTTCCCTTTGCCTTCAATGTGAGTATGGCCTTCTGTCTTGGGATCATCCCCCATTACCCCAAGGTAGTAACTGATAGGCTTTGTATCTCATATTCCAATATTTTAAGTTCTTAGGGATATGATTTTTTTTTTTTAGGGATATGAATTTGTAATTTGTTTGCACAAACACTATGGTGGTTTGTTTCTTTATGTGTTTGATGATGTTGATTGTGAGCTTTTGTTTGTTCATCTTAATCTGAGGCCCCAAATAAAGGAGGGATTTGCATTTGCTTCTAGAGGGATCTAGACTGCATCCCCTGAGGCCACTTAACCTCCTTCAGAGGTTCTTGGCTTAATGCGACCACTTGGGGTTCAGCTCCCCAGTAGCAAGCTGGCGGCACGCCTTTGTAATGGCAGCTTGGGATTGGCCTTCATCGTCTGGGTCACCCTACCCTCTGGGTTTGTTTACTGCTCAGCATTTTACTGTGGATTCAAGCCACAGTCTGCTCGCCTGTGGTTGTTCTTTTTGGTCATGGTGCAAGGGTCCCTGGAGATTTCCTCTACTTTCTGGAAGCCCATCAGTGCACTAAAAAGTGTATTTTAGCCAAGAACTAGTTGTTTTGTACAGGAGGCCTCTGTGGAGTAACTACTCTACTAATATTGTCGCCAGTGGAAGGCAATTACAGTTTCTTTACAAATATTTTTACATCTTTTTTAGATGAGGGAAGAAGTCTTTGGAAATTGAGACTGAAGATAGAAACACACACACACACACAGACACACACACACACAAACACACACACACACACACACACACACACAGAGGGGAAGAGAGCTGGCTGGAAAGCCCAGGGATGTGGGGGGCACTAGGATGAAGAGCACAGAGCGGGAGTGTGGGTTTGTGCTGCGGGAGCATGCCACCTATGCCAGCAGCGCTGCGGGCGGGCAGTGGGGGGACGGAGGACCCGGTCACCTGCCAAGAGCTGGCGCACATGGCAGCTAGTTAGCGCGGCTCTGTGGAGAGTAGAGAAGGGACTGGAGACTTGTTGAGTCCAGGTAAAATGCTTGCTTAACCACATTTCCTCAGCATAAAATAGTTTAATATAGATGTATTTTTAAAATTTTTATTTTGTAGGAATTGCTCTCAAGCATAGTGGATTGAACCCACATGCTTATCTTTGCTTTATTCTGAAACCCCGATAAAATATCAGTGAAGGGACTTTTAAAAAGTCCTGAATTTATTATTAGTTTAAAGAGCAGAAAAGGGGAACACAATGTTAGTAACATTTTTCAAGTTGGAAAGTTGAGTAATGATGAACTCTACTGATAGTGAAAGCTGAAGGTTAAATGCCTTTAGGGTCGGAGAACTCCAAGAAACAGCCAGTTCTTGTCATAGAACCCTGGAAAGGCTTAGGAGTTGGAAGTACCAGGTGTCTCTGAAGGCAGACACCTTGGAGGAGTGATTGAAGGAGCCGCTGGACGCTCAGCTCTTCTCCAGCACCACGTGCAGTCAGGAGACCACCACCTCCCTGGTTAATACTAGAATGTCTTCTCCGAGGGGCTGAACCAAGAGGACCTTCCTATGGGAGCTCTGGGGTGCCGTGGAGGGGTGGTCTACTGAGAACAGGGCTAAGAGCAAAGGCTACAAATGGAGGAGTGAGGCATCTTGACATGGCTTCTAAATGCAGGCACTGGGGTTGTACCCACTACATCCCCTTCCCTCCAGAAGGCTGATGCATACACTTCTGGAGAAAATGAACCAAAACCAGGAAAAAGATGTAGAGATGCTGATGTTTGGGTGTCCTTCCGTGATACAGCTCCAAACCCTCCTGTGTGAGCCACCACTTGGCAGGTGGTGCCTGTGCACACGGAGCTTCCATCAGCATTGGCCTCCTTCTGGCAAATAAATGGAGAATCAAGGATCCTGAACAATTGGAAACAACTTCCAACTTCTGAGAGATCAAAATGAGAAAAAGTGGTAGAAGATAGAATATTTATGGAAATTTTAAAAAATCCATAATCATACTTCTCTAATATAACTTTCATTTCCTTCCTTTCTTTTTTCTTTTTTTTTTTTTTTAAAGATTTTGTTTATTTGCCAGGGAGGGAGAGAGAGAGAGAGAGAGAACAAGCACAAGCAGGGGGAGTGCCAGGCAGAGAAAGAAGCAGATTTCCTGTTGAGCAAGGAGCCTGACGTGGGACTCAATCCCAGAATCCTGGGATCATGACCTGAGCTGAAGACAGGTGCTTAACCGACTGAGCCACCCAAACGTCCCAACTACTTTCCTTTTCATTCTCCTCTGGCCAAAGACATTTTTACGTTTTTATTTTATTAATTTTTTTTGAAAGATTTTTATTTGTCAGAGAGAGAGGGAAAGAGAGAACACAAGGGAGCAGCAGGCAGAGGGAGAAGCAGGCTCCCTGCTGAGCAAGGGGCCTGTTATGAGACTCAGTCCCAGGACCCTGGGATCATGATCTCAGCCGGAGGCAGACACTTAACCGACTGAGCCACTCAG